GTGAGTTCATTGATGTTCCCCTTCCGCCTTTCCTCCGCACTTTCGATTGCGGAGGCCACCCTAACGGAACAGAAGAGGTGGCCTTAGTGAACGGCTGGGGGGCAGCTTCAGGCGGGGCTGCAGGTGGAGGGTGACCCCGCGGTGGCTCGCAGTGGCGTGACAAGTCTTCGTCGCCCCCGCCAGGCGCCGTCGGGACGGGACTGTCGCAAGAGCAGGCGAATGCAAGCGTCATCAGGATAGCCATCTGCTTTCCTTGTTGCGTGTGGCCCTCACTCAACCCCTCCCCATCCTGATTCCTTTGTGGCTCTCTCGGTGGCCGGGGGCGGCACTGAGATATCCAAAAAGGCGCCAGCTGAGCAGACGGAGGGGGGCGGAGCATGCGGGAAGGCTCCTGGGCTGACAGCGCGAACGCAAGCCGCTGGCTTGCAAAGATAGCCTCGGCCTGACCGGAGGGTGAACGGGCAGGCGCCGCGAGATGACAGATACCCTCTCCGTGGTTCTTCCTCTCAAACGCTCCTCTCGCGCTGTCTTTGGCAGCTCGACGCGCTCGTCGCCGCCACCTTCAGGAAAGACGACGACTCCGCATGCGAGAGCTACCGCCCCATTTGCCTTCTGCAGGACGGGTGGGAGCTCCGCGGTTCTTCCTCTCTACGTGTCTCTCGCGCTGTCATTGGCAGCTCGACACGCTCGTCGCCGCCACCTTCAGCAAAGACGACGCATCCGCATGCGAGAACTACCGCCCCATTTACGGGGGCGCGCAAACATGAATTAGCGATCCATGGATTTGGCGCGCGGTCGCCAAATCCATGGATCTGGGGAGGTGCCCTCCCCAAAATGCGGCCGGTGCCGCCTCGCTCGGCGGCGGAAATCCGCGACTCCCTATGGAAACGGGACCCGTCGCTAATCCACGCCCACTTGATCCACGATTGCGATCGCCTGACATTTGCCCTCTGCAGGACGGGTGGGAGCTCGGCGTGACAATAAAAACATCACCCGCAGCTGCTCAAGTCCGACGTCAACAGCGCCAACGCCAGCCATCGTCCTCGCGAGGCGTCCCCTGGACAAGAGTCACGGGGGGCTCTGGATGGGAGCGTAGCCCTCTGAGCGATCGACTTAGGTCGGGCATGGGACGCACAGAGACATACTAATACAATATGTCCTCCTTTTGGAGGCGCGAGTCCGACCAGAACATGTAATATACCCATCTTGTAGTATATCGTTTCCCGAGCGGTGTGGCTGGAAAGCGCCCGCCACGACGCATATACTAGAAGATTTCCCGGTGCGCGCGCCGCGCCTGGGGAGGCTACGCGCACATCGTATTAGTATGCTGGGGGTGACGCTGAGGGCATGTCCCCCTGCAGGCGGATGTTGGCCGAAACAAAAAAAAAAATAGCAGTCTGTTCTGACCCTTTCCGAATATGTTCCTCCTCAGGAGGGACAGGCCCGACTCGCCGCTCGGCCGGGCGACGAGAGGCCCTCGACTACTCTCTTGGGCCCCCGACGCGCACGCGCTCGTCCTGGCCCTCGGGTGGCTCGGCCTGCCGGAGAGCAGATGCTCGCTGCCAGCGTTGAGTCGGGCGTGTCCCCCTACAGGGGGATTTTCGACGGAAACTAAAACAAACTCCAAAAAATCGTCCCCAGACTATTCTTTGACTATTTTGGAATATTCCCGCGCCATCGGTTTTGAGGAGGCGATTCTAGGGGAACAAAAAATGGCATAAACATAAAAACTCGGAGGTCCGCGCGGATTTCTCGGATCGGCGCTGGGCCGCCCCGGCGGCGCCTCTGGCGCCGCCCCTGGCGCGCTCCGCGCGCCAGGGAAGGGGTCCAGCGCCGATCCGAGAAATCCGCGCGGACCTCCGAGACTTTATGTTTATGTCACTTTTTGTTCCCCTTGATTCGCAGCGTCAGGGCGCGACGCAAGGCTCACAACACTGCGCTGTTCTGCCGACTCGCGTGCGCCATCCGCGCACCAAGGAGTCCGCGCCGTTCGATTCAAACGTCTGCGCTGTGCTTGCGATTGGGCCGTGGGCTGTTCTTGCGATTGGGCCGGAGGCTGTTCTTGCGATCCGACACCAACCACCCTCTCGCATCACAAGAACGACTCGTCCTTGTTATACGGAGGACTCACGGAATCGCAAGAACAGACAAGGCTCCCCTCCGACGGGCGGGAACAGAGGGGCAGGCAAGCGCCAAGCCTGCCCATTGTCGCCCTTCCTTTTTGCCCACGTCACGAGACCGTGTCGGAGCGCGACGCAAGGCTCACCTCCGACGGGTGGGAACAGAGTGGGCAGGCAAGCACCAAGTCTGCCCATGATCGCCCTTCCTGTGTGCCCTCGTCACGACCGTTCCACTCCACGAGGCCAAGGCAGCCTTGGGCCCCGCGTCCGCGGATGTGAGCGACTGGGTCCTCGCGGTCGCGGACGACATGCTGATCGCGGCGACGCAAGACGTCGGGGCGGCCGAGCACATGCGAGCAATTGAGCGAACTGGAGCCCAGTACGGCCTACAGTACAACGCGGGAAAAAATCGAGGCGTCGCCGGTGAGGGGCCACAATCGCATTCCCAAGCCAGACGGCGGGCATGTTAAGCAGGACTTCATCGTCTACTTGGTGAGCGTTCTGTCCGTGGCTGCCCCTGTGGAAGCTGACCTTGTCCGAAGACTGGGCGTAGCAAGGGCTGCAGTCGTAAAACTCGCCTGCACGTGATCGCTCCCGGTTCCTTCCAACCCGCAGAGGATCCGCACTTCGGAGGCACGCGCCGCGAGCAGGCTCCTGCAGAGCCTCCGCGCAGCCCGTCTCCAGAGTGCTGAGCTGTCAAGTTGGATGCTTTCAAGGCCCGCTGCCGGCGCAGGGCCCTGTGCGTGCCGCATTCGCACGTCAGCCACGCGACAGGTGTAGGCGGCCTGGAGCAGGCACGCTGTGTGAAGCCCAGCTGCACGCTGCCGGAAAGACACTGTGCCTACGTTGTCAGAGTAGCCCGCGATGGGAGAGCAGCACCGGCTATCCCCCCTGGCTCGCCGTGCTCAAGCCTTCGTGCTGTGGAGCCGCTGCACCCCGAGATGCTTCGCAGGCAGGGTCGGCCTCGCAAACAGGGGAAGAACTGAAGCACGCCAGGAATGCACGTGGGCGCAGGCACGATCAGGGTGCAGACGTCGGCGCGGTTCGCGGGGGCGAACGTGGGGAACGCGAGTCGTGGGCCTCTCCAGGCTCCCGGGTCTGGCCGAAGTCGGCGCGCGCTCCCCCCCAGAACGCCGACCACGGCATCCGCGACGTGATCTCCACCGATCGGAACTTTGGCCTGCGCCGTGCACGAGGCCACATCGGCTGGGACAGGGCATTGCTGCCGCGCCGGAAGACGCCTGGCCAGGCGCAGCGCGGCAGTACAGCCAAACACGCCGATGTGTCCCTGCTGCTCGTGCGCCCCACTGATGGCAGGCGGCTCCGAGGTGGAGTCGGTGGAGGGGGCAACGGATGGGGCAGGCGACCATGCGAAGATGTTGCCGCAACTGCGGCGTCCGTAATGGCGGCAGCTCCCATCATGTCTGTCGTCGCGGCCAACCGACTCGGGCGTCGGCGGGCCGTTTCCTGACTTGGCGCCACTGCTCGGCGGCCGAACAGCGCTCAGCAGAGCTGGAGAGAAATGTGGGTCCACCCCGAGTACGACAGCTCTGTGCCACAGCTGGGCCCCTCGCCGGATCTCACTCCCCTGTGCACCCCATCTGCTTACCCTGTCACCTGCTGGCAGAGCTCACGTTTTGGAAGAAGGGGTCAGAGGAATGCTGAGGAAGGCGAGGAGGAGAGCACGCTGCCACAAGACTGCAATCGTACCGTTCAGCAGCCACGCGAACTTCTGTGATGGTGCCAAGCCTGTTCTTGATCAGGCCGAGGGATGAAGCTTGCAAGGCGCTGGGAGATCCTGGACCCAGCCCTGGTCTTCCTTCCCCTTGCATCCTTGCCGACCTGGTCGTCGTCTGATCGGTTGGACAGGTGCGCCTTTCCTTTGTGTTGCTGGTCGGTACCTACTCCCTTCGCGAGATGCTGCGCTGTGTCGTAGCATCGCCGAGGAAGTAGAGTCCCCTGTCATCCCTTCCAATCCCTTTCTGGTGTACTACCCCTCTCCTATTGCCCTGTCGAGCGCAAGACTGTTGAACGTTCGATGTCGCAATGACGCTGACGACGACGACAACGTTCACAACGACCACGACCACGACCACGACTACAGGGATGAAGAGGAGGAAGAGCAGTACGAGAAACATGATGAAACCGATAGCAATGACGACGACGGCGACGACCACGACAACGATCACGACAACAGGGAGGAGGAGGAGGAGGAGGAGGAGGAGGAGGAGGAGGGGAAGGAGGAGGAGGAGAAGAAGGAGTAGAAGGAGGAGGAGAAGGAGCAGGAGGAGGAGGAGGAGGAGGAGGAGCAGCAGCAGCAGCAGCAGCAGGAGAATGAGGAGGAGAAGGAGGAGGAGGAGATGAAGGAGCAGAACGAGTCTGACGATGTCGTCGAGAACGACGACGAGCACCACCACCACCACGACGACGACCGCGACGCTGCCGACGACGACGACGACAACAACGACGGCGACGACAACTACGACAACGACGACGACGTCGACGAAGCTGACAGCGACCTCGACCACAGGGAGTAGAAGGAGGAGGAGGAGGAGGAGGAGGAAGAGGAGGAGGAGGATCAGGAGGAGGATCAGGAGGAGGAGGAGGACGAGGAAGAGGGGGAGGAGGGGGAGGAAGAGGAGAAGGAGGAGAAGGAGGAGGCGGAGGAGAGAAAGGAGTACGACGAGGCCAGGCCAAGGCCAGAGGTAAAGGGTTGGAAGGAGGGGGACACAGAGGAGAAGGAATAAAGGGAGGATCAGGAGGAGGATCAGGAGGAGGAGGAGGAGGAGGAGGAGGATAAGGGGGAGGAGGAGGAGGAGAAGGGGGAGGAAGAGGAGGAGGAGGAGGAGGAGACGGAGGAGGAGGAGGAGGAGGTGGTAG